CAACTAAAGGTGACATAGATACTTTATTATGGTATAGTATTTAAATATATGCCTGAGAAACACATAATATTGCCCCTTTAAAGGAAAGAAGACATGAAAAATAAAAGCTAGCAGATGAAAACACTGATTTTTTTTTAGTATATCCGTTTAAAAGCTTAAGATTGTGACCACGCTGCTAAAAACTACCTGAGAGACGAGGTACTTGTCCAATTTTTAATCTCAGAACTTCAGATGGCTCTGCCCCTGTCAATAAACGTCTGTCATGTTGTTGTTTACCTGTGTTTTTGTCTTCAATCTCAGCACCAAATCCATAGATCTGCAGCGGGAAACTGGCAATAAAAATCATTAAACAAACTCTGGCCATTTTGCTGTTGCCTGTCCGACTCGTCCACCGCTCCAAAGTACAGCAACACACTGTTTACTCACCTGGGTGGCCACAGAGTGTGTTTGTTCTTTCGCATTTCTGTTTATTTGCTWGTGAGGAAGAAAAGAATTAAAGTAAATTAAAAAAAATTAGAAATAAAGAATTGCTGAGCAGGGAATTGTTATTTAAATGTTGTTTAATCTGAATATTATTGATCTTTGACAGCAGGAGAGAGATAAATAGAGGAAATGAGAGGAAACTCCTGCAGTTTACCCWCTGAGGTGAAAACCAGGGAGGAGAGTTGATGATGTTACGATTAGTTTGTGTTWCTGAGGATAAATCACTGCGACTGTCAGCTGCAGCTGCTCAACCTCAGCCTTSTTGTGATTTATTGACTTAAATGAGATAAAGGAGGGTGTTATTCCTCCAATTTTAAAGAACTTATACCAGCTTTTTAACCAATCAGCTTGCAAGCTTGAAGCTTTTTTTAGGTAAGAAAACAACTATCAAGTGGACTGCTCATTTTGTTACAATTATAATTAAATCTSTCCTGACTGATCAGTGTCCTGGGACCAGATCTTTAATGTTTTTGTAGTTTCTGAGCAGTGAAGCGGGGTCGTCTCAGGAAACGGACAGACASAAGCATGAAAGTGGGTTAAAACCAGAAAAAAAAGAGCTCGACATCAGTGCTCCTAATCCCTAACAGACTGCACACTGCTTCATGATATGATGTACAATGTGGTTTTTTTGTACTTTTTTTTTACTAAATGCAAAAGTAAAAAAAATATTGTAACTCGACTTGAAAGCTTCAGCACACACCCGTCATTTAATTTAAGATTTGATCATCCTAAAAGTTTCGATGTTATTGCAGCTAAATGAAACAGGATGACTGATAATGTGAAATCTGACATGAATTGCATCACTTCCTTTCAGCCATCCATCTGCTGCTGAGTAATAAATAGATTAAATGTGGTTCGATGACAAGGACTCGAGGCTGGGAATGTAGCCTTAACAATTCAGTCATATCCGATTTTTCGTCTAATTCCTACAGTTTGYCTTTTAATCAGGTGTAAACAGCATTTGAGGCTCACTTCTGCTTTTGTCCTCTTTGTTCACAAATTTAATCATATCAGGACAAGATGAGTGGAAAAAACTAAGTACAAAGAAAAGCTGTGAGAGATCATCAGAAAGCACAGAGAACTGATCAAGACATTAAGTTCAATTGTGTTGAAGTAAAGTTAAAAAAACCCTATGCAGATCGTTTGAAACTTTTGCACAGTGAGACCCTTGGAATAAAAACCCACACTTGGCACAAGCCAAACAAACAAAAAGAGCCCATTTAAACTCCTGATGGGAAAGAAAAAAAAGAACATCTGCATAAATCAATCATTTCTGTGAGAATCAGAGTGATTCAGGAACAGAACACATGCAGCTCTTTTACAGAGCAGCTGCTCCTCCAGACCTGATCCATGAACACAGACTCTGTGGACCAGTTTTACTTTACCCCGCTGCAGTTTTTGTTGATGTGCCTAAAAAATAATATTAATGAAAAAAAAATAAACTTGATGAAAATTTATGTGTTTTAAAGGATTTCATTTATGAAAATGAAGCTRGAGGTAAGACTTTGGGAACCAAAGATAAGCTATAATAAGACACCACACCACCATAACACACTTTGTGTTCAGCTCTCTTCTGTTGTTCTGCTCTGTTAAAAAGTCCTGAACACAACCGATTAAATGATCAATAAACTAATTGATCTGCAGTTTCTGTTTGCTGAGTTTGCAGCTGGATCTGCATTAATGAGACAAAAGACATTCAAACACATTGATCCTCTTTGAGGTAAAATTCAACATTTTTTATGTTTTTGTTCATAAAAGTATTGATCTTCTTTGTTATAAAGTCTTCCTATCCTCTGAGTTGTGATATATATATTTAGTTATTATTTTTTGTAATGCAATTCTTGTTGATTTCTTCTTTAAACAACGGGTCACAAAATTTCTTAATCAAAAACTTTACAAAAGATCACAAATAATTTCAGATGAATACTGCCTGCCTTAGGTATTTGTCCATGTCTGTATGTGTTTGTTGATAAGTCTGTTAGCAGAATATCTCATAAACCCCTGGACAAATTTTATTGAAACTCTCAGAAAAATAATTATTGCAAAGACAACTACAACTGTTTAGGGTCACAGCAATGCAAGATGTAGCAAAACTGACATAAGTTTGTCAGTTTTACAGATACCAGTTTGTTAGCATCGTTTGATGTTCATCTAAAAATGAATAACTTTTGGAGACAACGCAAATCAAGATGACGTCATAGTTTGTCAGAATTAACAGATATTTTGTCACTTTTATAAAAACATGGTTTTTATTATGGTGTCATGTTGCAAATTCCAACACTTTAAATATTGGAAAATTTACATAAATTCACATTTTGCAGCAAATCATTGTCAGTTACAAATTRTTAATTTGCGTCCTTGCCTTGCGCGCGCGCACATTCCCTATTTGTGCCATCTGTCTTTGTCTGGCAGCGCGCGCCCTCAGCGCGTGATGGTTTGGTTGTGAGTCTCTCCGGCTCACAGACTGAGCCAGGCTGTGCAGACAAACGGACCAAAGGGGCAGAAACCGGAACTGAAAGGACTTCTGGAACTGAAATTAAAAGACGAAATAAAAACTGTTTTGCTGCGTCTTTTATCTGGAAGTTTCTCTCAGCAAAAGAAAAAAAAGAAAGAAAAAGAAGAAGAAGAAACGGAGCTCCATGAGCGGGAAAACAAAAGGCAAAGAGGAGAAAGATCATGGTGAGTAAATCTGGATAAGATTAAGAGCTATCTGAAAAGAGAAAATATCTAATAATGATGATGATGATGATGATTTTTGTCCTGTATTTTCTACCTTGTCACGTGATGTCAGAAGCTATTTAGAAAGTTGAATTAATTTGTCATCCTCTATATTTCTTCACTCTCCCTCTGCTCAAATCTCAGCTTAAAACTCCATGAAATAATATAATCATCTCATCAGTTCTTAAATTATAGGAAATTTATTTTTATTTTAGTTTGTTTTTTTTAATTGAAATGACTCAGAGTCTCATTCAGGAAGACTGAGCCGCAGTGGAAACTGGGAAACTATCATTGCCATGGAAACTAAAGGGAGTCACCCACGAGCTGAGCTCCATCATAGCAGGGCTAATTAATCATCTGTGCATTTAACCTAATTGAAAGGTTACAGAGGGAGCAGTGATACTCAGTTTATGCAATTATCAATCAAACATTAAATTATAAAGGATGTACAGTAAACTGTAATCCACAAATATACCACCTAATCCCCTCTAATCTGTCAGCTTTCTTAACTGATTGTTCACATGTTTCAGTTGACTTTATCAAATAAATTGTTTAGGTGATTTACACTTTAGAGATATAAATAAACTGACAGTTCTGTAACCAGAGCAATAGATTTAGTCCTGGTAAGCAGGTAAAAAAATAGCTAATATTATTTTACTAAAATCAAAATTTAGGCAGTGAGTTGTTGATTTCTGGTTTGTTTTGCATGTTGGATAAACAAAAACACTGATGTTTGATCCAACTTTTAGTTTGTTACCACCTGGTACAAGAAGCATAACAGAATAAGCTGTATGAAGTTTTGCAAGTTTTTTTTTCCTCGAATGCAACCCACAAATCAGGGGCGGTTCTAGGGGCGGGGCCACAGGGGCATGGGCCCCTGCTGAAATCTGATTGGCCCCCTGAAGTGCCCCTGTCCTGTCACTCATCTCCATTGCCTGAGAGCGATGATGGTGGGTGCAGTTTTGAAGAAATTTATAGTTTTTACAGGTTAGTACTGATGTTAAAAGCACAACACTATATTTTTAGGTTTTCCTTTTTATGATGGTTAATCTATAATGTGTTGATTGATATAGATTAGTTACATGTCCGAAATATCTAAAACAACACATATTTATCCGTTATGAGAACATGTAGGGGAGAATAGTGTATGAATGCCTGTGATTCAGCCGTAGGTCAGCAGGGGGCGAACACGGGCATTGAAGACTCTGCATAAATGGATCAACTTCCTGGTTTGCGGGCAGTGTGTGGTTTCCTGTCAGATCCGAATGGCATTARATCCTCACTCCAGATATCTGGTTTTGTATGGTTTTATCTCGTCTAACAATCATATTATTTAACATTGGTGGTTTTCTAATGACTTCAGTCTTTGAACGYGAATATTTCTTACAGTTTCATGCACAAACACTAGAGGCACTAATGAGTCAAACAGGAAAGTCCAGAATGAATCAATCTTACAATCTTACTTCTTCTCTTCTTTAAAAGACTTGAACAATTTTGCAAAAAATATCTTTCAACTGGCAAACAATGACTTAATTTTCTCACATGCTTTGAAAATATTTTATCTATGTACAGTAAAAATGCATGTAAAATTGATAAGGAAGCTTTTTAAACAACATTACATTGCGTTACAATTGTTTGAACATATGTGACCGCTTAAATTGATACCTTACCAAAACTGAGGATTTATGYGCAAGGATGTTGAACAAATACTTGGCCCCTTTATGTGGTCCTAATATTGTGGCCCCTTACTCGGAAAAATCCTAACCACCACTGCCACAAATCCAACAAATGTTGCACTAGAGAAGCAGAGGTWAACAGATTGAACTATCAACATAAATTATTCCATCAAACTACGTTGGTGTTACTAATATAATCACAGATAAATCCCAAGTTTTAAACAGGAACATTTGTWTTTACATATCTGGTCACACTTAGCGTAAAGTCTGGTTATGTCTGCAGTATCTTGTGTTCCTCAGCAGGTTACAGTAACTTTTTAAAACACTAAAAGACCCAACAATCCTCAGAACAGGCAGTGAAACGAGATGAGGGTAATTTATACGGTAAACTGATGGCTGCTCTCTGACAGTGTCAGCACTAAGATGATGTTTTATCGTCGAGAGCTGCTGCACTGTAAAAACATCCCACCACAGATCGTAGGTAGAAATTAAAAGCTCGTTGTGTGTCATGAAATCTGCGATCTAACAACTTTCATCACAT